GGGGCACGGTTAGATTTCTCTAGACTCTAATGATACGGCATTTCTTCAATACTCGTCCTTTTATTACTTCCCATTTCCACATACACTTAATGTAGTCTAATGGGATCTCCTTGCCAAGTTCCAGTGACCCACGTAGGATACAAAGGATGACATCAATGGGCACTACTCTCATGACAAGTCTTTATTTCATACATTCAAAAATTCCAGCAAGACGTCTATTCTTTCCCATGCATTAGTCGGTTGAAAGCAAGTGTAGATTTCTTGGGTCCAGGGCCATTAAAAACACATTCTTTCCCATTTAGTTATGCCCATAGAAAAGAACCTTCTCAGGAACTTCAAACCCCTTTGAACACATTTTTCTCTCCCTTCAGATTTTCTGTTTAAAACATCAATAACAGCCAAAACTGGTTTGGCTAGGGTGGATAGAGTGTCAGCCTGTGGACTGAAGGGTCCCAGATTCGATTCCAGTCAAGGGCATGTACCTTGGTTGTGGGCCATTCCCCAGTAGGGATTGTGCAAGAGGCAGCTGATCGATGATTCTCTTTCATTGGTGTTTCTAACTCTCTATCCCTCTCTCTTCCTCTCTGTAAAAAAATCAATAAAATATTTTTAAAAGACATAGTAGTTTTAAAACAAAAACAAAAACAAAAAAACACATCAATAACAGATATATGAGGAGCAGACAAGGCGGCTCTAAGGGACCCAGGGCTGGCCCAGGACAACTTGAGCAACCCAGGGCAAGGACTGCATTTTCCGCATGATTGGGTTATGGGAGTAGGTGGGGGGGATGGATGGTGGAGGGGTGTGGAATCTTAAGTGATTTATTGTGCATTTCATGTTGAAAGCATATTTGTGAAAATAAAATAGCTGTCTAAGTGACGGGGGATCACAGCCCTTTTATCAGGATGGAATCCTGCTCATGGCTGGTATCCAAGCTCCTGGAACACATCAGCAGGCCTGGGCGTGGCCAGGCATCATTCTAGTCGGGTGGGAGGAAGAAGGCATCTGGGGGAGCAAATGTTCAGCAGAATCTGTGGAGAGACCTTCCTGACCCACCTGGACAAAGACAAACGCTACTCTCACTCCTGGCTGTGGGATTCCTGTTGACCCACCCCTGTGAGCCAGCCAGTAACTCAGTCATGTCTGGAGTTTAAATGTAAAATGAAAAAATAGATTCCATGACTCTATCAACTACAGTGCAAACTCTTTTAAAACAGCTGTTCTCTGTAAAACATGTCAGTGGATATCCACAACTTAAACTTTCTCTGTAAGCCTTTAGCTCCCATGGGCTGAGCTGCAAGGCTGCTAAGAGTCTATCGTGTTTATGAACAAAATTATTCCAGTTGAAGCTTTTATTGCAATTGTACGATATAGTAAAATATTGTGCAAACAGATAAAATATAAATATAAAGAGAGTTGCTATTTCCATTAAAACTAAGCAAATACTCTGAAAGTACTTTAAAAAAAAAGAAGCTGCTCAAAAAATTGCCATTGAATTAGATGTGTGAGATCATTGTAAAAGACTGGAGGAGTATAATTAGAAAAATCTCAGAGACTTAACATTTTCATCCCACTTTAAAGTATTGAAACTGATCAGCATAGAAGTGAATTATGGGTATAGCTTTGCAGCTTCTAATCAGCAGACTCTTACTCAGAGGAAAGGACTTGGTTTGACAGTAGAAGATCGGTGAAGGAATGTAGATGTGAAATTTTGGGGTACAATAAAAAATTCAAGAGCAGGCATAAATTGTTTTAAAACTCTTCACCTTTAACAGACTTTTAAAACTATTCAGCAAAACACTGGCTAAGTACACATTCAGTGTCTTCTACACTTCATCCAGGCAGGGCCACTGTCTCTCCGTTTGGATTTATGGGATGAGGCATTTTGTGGGAGAGCTTGTACAGGAAGAGCTGAGATACTGGGTGATCTCTAGCCTTTCTATTTCCGTACAATAAGGTGTAATGGCAGAAAGCATCAGAGCTACCTGGCAGACCCACCAGGGGTCTTCTGATTCTCCAGCAGACAGAATTGCAAGCCTTACAGAATCCACCCTGGGCACAGAAATAAGAGCTGCCTTTCACTTGCCGAAACCGGTTTGGCTCAGTGGTAGAGCGTCGGTCTGCGGACTGAAAGGTCCCATGTTTGATTCCGGTCAAGGGCATGTACCTTGGTTGCGGGCACATCCCCGGTGGGGGGTGTGCAGGAGGTGGCTGGTCGATGTTTCTCTCTCATCGACGTTTCTGGCTCTCTATCTCTCTCCCTTCCTCTCTGTAAAAAATCAATAAAATATATTAAAAAAAAAAAAAAAAAAAAAAAGAGCTGCCTTTCACAGCAAAGCAAAACTGATACTTGTGTTGGGAAAGAGTCCTGGCATTTTTCTTTGATGATATGGATCTTAATCTGAGTCTATAACCTCAGCTGTAGCCTTTTCCTGGGGAGACTTTCCTTGTACTCCAGAAATGCTTCTACATGGTTTAAAAAAAAAAATAAAGCTCAAAAGAAGCAGGATAGTCATGTGATACAGAATTATCAACCTAATATAGTGTATTTTTAGAACTGTAAGCCAGAAAGAAAAAAAAAAGATATTGGTATTGACACAACCCTAATGAGTAATTTCACCATTCCCACTGGGATCTACATAGTACAACAGGAATGAGTAACGGTTGGGCCGATTTCAGATAATATCACCTTCAACCCTGCATCTCTCCTAATCATTCTCTTTCTTGCAGTGTGCAAATATGGAAAACATCAGATACATTGAAGTTGAAACAGAGGTGGAATAGTTGGGACGGGGAGGAATTCCTGTCTCAGCAATTCCCACAAAGAAATAGCAATATAAAAATAAGGGCATTCTTCCAGTGGTGAACAGTCCTGGTATTTTCCTTTTCTAACACACAGTGGCAACTTATTTAAATTATAAAACACACACAGCTAGGTTAGTGTGGCTTAGCAGTTGAGTGTTGACCTTGATTCCTAGGTCAGAATTGGTGCCTTCTGATTCCCGGTTCAGGTACATGCCTGGGTTGAAGGCTCCATCTCCATTGGGGGTATGCAGGAGATAGCCAATGGATGATGTTTCCCATCAGTGTTTCTATCTCTCTATCCCTCTCCCTTCCTCTGTCTCTAAACAACAACAACAACAACAACAACAACACACACACACACACACACACACTACCCACATCTGTTGAAAATTCACCACAGAACTATCCACACAAAAATAATGATACTTTATTTTAGATCAGAAGTATTTTTGAGCCTAGTCTGAGAGAGTGAAATGTTTCACTAATTACTATGCAGTGCATTTAGAGCTTTCACTGTTTTTCCTCATTTCTCAAGGGGCATACTTTTTCCAGAAGCACAGTTGCTGAACATTTATTTTTATTGTTTCATGGGAGAGAAGCTGAGGTACCCAACTGGCTACTATAATTCAGTAAAATCACCTGCCAGAGAATTTACTTAACTTATACCTTTGCCCCAAGCAGTGCTTCAGGGTCTGCCATATTTTCCTGTGCGAACTTGAGAGAAAATAGTTTGTTAGAATAAAACAATTTTAAAAAGATACTGATACACTTCCTTCTAATTAATATTTTTCACACAAACTTTCTGCTCTTTTCTTTCTTTCAAAAATGCCAGCTAACATGATACGCCAATCGTTAAAGCCAAAACACAATTTGCTTGTATCCTTGAAGGAATATGCTTTTTTCAAAAGGACATTTCCTCATTGCCAAGGTGATACGTGTTCATTGTAAATATGTGGAGCACTAAAGAAAGTTAAAAAAAAAAATTAAACCATAATCTTACCAATCCATGATAAGCATTGTAAACATTTAGGTAAACTGCCTTCCAGTGAAAGATTATCATTCCTTAACATCTTAAAAGCTATCTTCTATTCCTTAATAAAAACATCTATTCCTGAGTAAAAAGCTTTGTTACAAGTATTCTTCCAGAACCTAACGTTTCTTGTAATCTTTGGGAAAGTATTTGACAGCGAACTTGATGTGACAGTTGAAAATGCTTGCTATACTGAATATTAAGAAACAGGTTCTAAAATCTAACAGATATTGACTGATGAACAATATACTTGAGCAGAGCAGAGCACTGTTCAAAGGGATAGTTTTTAAAAATCAGTTCGGTTACTTTAAGAATGAGAATTTCAAACTGAGCTTTGAGACAATACGATTCGGCGCTTCAGTAAAATGTATTTGTCTGGTTTATATATTTTAAATATGTCCTAGGATGGAACAGGAACAGAAAATTTGACCAGATGTGAGTCAATCTGTGGGGGCATGGAAAACTCTTCAGGAAGCTTCGGTGAGCCTCCTGGTATTCAGTAAAAAGGAGAATGCACCTAGCTTTATTTTGCCCACATTTGGAGATTCTGAGGCTGTGTTAGTTATTACGTATCCACAGGTTGCATGATAAATATGTTCATTATCTGGGACCTTTTGGAGAAGAGCATCTTGAAAGCCAGAGTTGCAATTTTCAAGAGTACTTAAGAGCAATACAGAGTGTTGCTGATAATTTAGAACTTGAATTTTTAGTTTCTCTCCAAATACATCAAGCCATATTTGGTATACTCAAATGTCTTCATATAAATCCTTTCAGACAGTTGGAAGCTTATAGTGGGGACAATTCACTTGAGTAAATATCCTGAGAACTTATAAGTATATTTTTGACAACCAACTTCGGTTTGCCTGTGTGTGTGTGTGTGTGTGTGTGTGTGTGTGTGTGTGTGTGTGTGTGTTTTCAACTGAGCATCATTTCATTTTGCAATGTGTAGCAGTAAAACTTTTACAAGCATTGAGATAAAAGCAAGGTGGAATTACCACACTAATAACAGATTTGAACACTGAGCCATGACTCAGAATCCAAGGTCTATACCACTTCCAAAGAGATGTTCATTGTCTTGAGGAAGAAATCAACCCCCCATATCTGAGAGGGGTGAGTGAAATGCAAGGTCTGAAAAGCACAACAGTGACACCCATATGACTCTTACTTGAGGGCCGTTCTGTAGTGGTAGATCGCTTCTCTGTTCCGACCTTGATCCTTCAGGAAATTTGCGTAGTTGTAGTGAACCTTGGCATTGTGGGGCAGAGTTTGAACTCCAGACCTAGAATTAATAAAAAGAAATTTAAAAAAGAGCAACAAAGAGTACTGCTTAGGAATGTCTAATATGCAAATTGCCCCCTTGGGCTGGAATTCTACCAACCAGGAGCTTGACTGCTCACTATGACATGTGCTGACCACCAGGGGCAGCATGGAATGAAGGAAGGCCCCGTTGGTAGCCAGGAAAAGCAGGCCCCAGCCAGTTGCTGGCAACCACTAGGGACCCTACCCGTGCACAAATTTGTGCACTTGGCCTCTAGTTTATATTTATTTTTAAACCCTAAGATGAGGATATGTTTTTATTGACTTTTGAGAAAAAAGAAAGAAGAGAGAGAAAGAAAGAGAGAGAGAGAGAGAGAGAGAGAGAGAGAGAGAGAGAGACAGACATCACTGTGAAAAACATTGATAGGCTGCCTCCAGTATGAGCCCCGAATAGAGATTGAACCTACAACCCAGGTATGTGCTCTGACTGGGAATCGAACCAGCAAACTAGCAACCTTTTGATCTAAGAGATGATAATCCAACCTACTGAGCCACATGGCCAGGGTAGTTTCCTTCATATTCTACTCACAGTTTCATGAGTAACCGTGGTGCAATGGACTTTTTAAAAAGTCCATTGCACCCTTTTAAGTCAAGTCTTTCACAATTTGTGAATTATATGAGTTACTTAACATGCTTCGATGGAAAACTATGAAGGCAGTGCATAGTGGCCCACAACTACACAGTCATGCTATCTGCACCCGAAGCAGAGGTGACAGGACATGGAGATGGGTGAATGGTTGGAGAACAACCCTGCATGTTCAGGTTAATTCATTTGTTCCTTCCTTGCTTCCTTCATTCGCTTACAGATTTTCATTAAAAATTTGAGATTATCTACAAAAAATATTCATTATAGGATGAATGAATGTGGATTGGCCTTCCTATTAAGTTTTATTGAAAAGTAACATTTACCATAGACTAAGTCTGATCTATTTTTTAAAATAAGTGTCCCACCCATGTGACTCAGTGGTTGAGCATCTACCCATGCACCAAGAGGATGCAGGTTCAATTCTCAGTCAGGGCACATGCCCAGGTTGCAGGCTTGAGCCCAAGTAGGAGTTGTGTAGGAGGCAGCTAATCAATGATTTTTCTCATCATTGATATTTCTATTTCTCCCTCTTCTTTCCTCTCTGAAATCAATAAAATATATTTTTAACATTTTTTAAAAAAAGGTAGCTAGGATATTTTGGGGTGATGAGGGATGAGGCTGAAAATATGGACCATAAATTCATATCAGGAACAGTTGCCATCCTGATCTATTTCTCTACCCTGCACATCCGGGTGACTTTTTTCAATGATTCTCTCGCTCTCCAGCAGAAGGCACTTTACTCTCTAGAAAGGCCCTCACTCAGGAACAACAGGTCCAATTAAAGTTTGGGGGCAGAAGTGCTCCTCAAATGTAGATCAGGTGAAATCTGTATTCTGAACATTGGGGATCCCCCAGTTCTTTCCTCACAGAAATCTCTCTGAATGCTGGCAGCCAGGACTGGTCCCCCAGGGAGAAGACTGGAGGAATCCTCTGCTCTCAGTGGAAAGATTTACAAAGGCTGACCTTCAGCGGGTGCTCCAGGGAAACCATCCGTTTCCTTTTCCCCCTGTTGGGGGGGCCCCCCTGGCTGACACACAGAGCGAGGATTTTAACATAATATTTAATATGGATATTACCCAAGTGAATTTAGTCACAGGGGCAGGATGTGGGTCAGTGTGAGAGTAATGGCTTTAAAAAAATCCAATTTCTTTCCAGGAAAATTTCTGATTTTTCTACCCAGAACTAAACAGTACATGGTAACAGGTTTTATTTATTTATTTATTTATTTATTTATTTGTTTGTTTAATTAATTTTAATATTTTATTGATTTCAGAGAGGAAGGGAGAGGAAGAGAAAGACAGAAACAACAACGATGAGAGAGAATCATTGATTGGTTGCCTTCTGCACACCCCTTACTGGGGATTGAGCCAACAACCTGGGCATGTACCCTTGATAGAACTGAACCCAGAACCCTTCAGTCCACAGGCCGACACTCTATCAACTGAGCCAAACCAGTTAAAGTGGTAACTGGTAGGTTTTAAAGAGAACTTTGATTTCAGCGTGAGTATTACTGGCCTATCTACTGGGATGGAGCCTTCCCTGTGTGATCAGCATAGTTGTTCTAATTTATGCTGCACCAACTGCGGAACAGACACTCAGGCCTGTGGGATCACGTTCCTGAATGAGATCAGAGCACTGTTCAGCAATGGCGAGAGGAAATAATAATATTCATAACAGGCAAGCAGCTGTGGGTGGAGCAACTGAATCCTAACAACACACATTCTCTCATTGTTGTTTTTGACCTTTAAGTTCTCTCTGGTTTTGTTGTTGTTAATGTTTTATTTTTTTAGCCTCTCATTTTGCAATGAACATTTTGTTAAAAAAAAAAAAAAGAAAAAGAAAAAGAAAAAGGCAAATAAACAATTGCCTAAGGGCAAAACTTTCCATGTTGCTATCCCTGGCCAGGTTACTCTTCCCCGGGGGTCAGACTCCTCAAGTTTGCTTTCTTGGTGCTATGATTGAGTACTCACAACTGTGTTAAAGGAAACATACAGCTTTACACATACTTAGTCCACAAGGAAATGTAGTGTCCATAAATTATATGACTGGGTCCCAAATCCTATTAATAATTCAATAATGATTATGAAAAAAATCTCCCTTTCAACTCAGGATCTTAATGCATACACTTTGTATTTTCCCCTCACATCCTTCATTTGCAGAGACTTGAAAAAAAATAACAGAAATAACAAATAAAAAACCACCACTTCTATATAGAGTATATTTCCAAGTTTATAGAGCATCAGTTTGTTTTGTTGGCAGGAGAACCATCCACAAATTCCTGATTAGATAAGAATCTCTTTTTTTTTTAAGAGTGGTGTTCAGCCAAAGTTTAACAGGAAAGATTAAGAAGAAAGTGTCATTCTCCTCAATTTTGACCTTGCTTTAACCTGAAGCTTCACAATGCCACACGTAGTATGGTTGATTCTTAAGAAATGCTCATTTTGAATCAAGCACCCATTTCCATGGATTATCTCATTTTATCCCTTCAACAACCTGCCAGATGGGTAGTATTAATGGGTTTTCTATATTATGGATGAGGAAATTGAAGGTAAGTTATATTAAGACCTTTTTCTAAGGTTACAGACCTAGTAAGTAAGTTGAGCAGAGATTTCAACCAAATTCACAATCATTCCTGAATGGTACCACAAGAGACTAGTAACTTTAGATTTTCATGATCACAAAGTTTATATAATTGGTAAGCAAACTATGGCCTTGTGGGCCACAGATGTGTCAATGTGTTGTCAACCTATTGTCCTTTTGGTTTCTTTCCTGAGACAAAGACAGAGCGGAATGGATGCAAAAGAGAATGCAAGTCCCACTAAGCCTAAAATATTTACTATCCGTCTCTTTACAAAAAAAAAAAATTGCTAACCCTGGTTTACATTATGTGTCCTGAAAAGTTAAGTGATCTCTTGGCTCGGCAATTCAGAGGGGAGGAAAGAAAAATGTGTTTCCTACATAGGGGGAGGATGATTTAGGTCAGACAATCTTAATCCATCAGTGGTCAACAGTTCATGAATGGGGTTCCAAGGGAGAGAGAGACAGAAACATCAATGATGAGAGTCATTGATCAGCTGCCTCTTGTACACCCCACACTGGGGATTGAGCCCACAACCTGGACATGTGCCTTCACTGGGAATCAAACTCTGACCTCCTGGTTCATAAGTCAATGCTCAACCATTGAGCCATGCAGGCTGGGCTAATTGTTTATAATATTGTCAAGCCGAAACCAGTTTGGCTCGTGGATAGAGCATCGGCCTGCGGACTGAAAGGTCCCAGGTTCGATTCTGATCAAAGGCATGTACCTTGGTTGCGAGCACATCCCCAGTGGGAGGTGTGCAGCAGGCGGCTGATCAATGATTCTCTCTCATTGATGTTTCTAGCTCTCTATCCCTCTCTCTTCCTCTCTGTAAAAAATCAATAAAATAAATATTTTAAAAAAGAAAAACTACCCCATATAAGTAGTGAGATTACAATGAGACCATATGTCTTAATGATGGTCAACAGATTTATTGTTTGGAACAGAGGAAAATACTGAAATAGGGCCTCTGCCCAGGACACCAGCTTATGTATAATAGAACAATTGCAAGGTTTTCTTCCTCAGTTCAGCCATCTCTCAGTTTTCTGGCCATTATGGCTAACTTAGATTTTTCTCATCCTTCCATACTCAGCTCAGGCTTCCTGCAAGAAAACAGTCCTCGAAGGCCTGGGCTGGTTTTAGTCACCTGCATGCACTTCAGTGTCTTGCATCTACTTCTGTTTACTGCTTACTACATTGTATCAAAATATGTACACATATCTGCCACCCATGCCAACTTCTGGCTTCTCTACAGTCAATTTCTACCTGCCCCCTATCCTAGAATACACTGGAGAACAAGAATCTGAAAACCTCACATAGGGTTTACCATATGCCAGACTCCATCTTACGCATCTTTCACATACCTCTTTTTTTCTTTCTTTCTTTCTTACACTACATTCAGGAGATTAACACTATTATTATTATCAAACTTAAAATGAAGAAACTAAGGCATAAAGTGGTTCAGTATCTTGCCCAAGTCCACACAGTTATTAAATGGAGGAACTTGGAGTGGAGCCAGGAAGCTGAACTCCAGACCCCACACTCAACCACTAACCTTGTCTTAAAGTTTCTCTAAGCACATATGTGGAATGGTTGTGTTTTAGTAACCAACCGTTCACTTACTACATGCTTCTATGTAAAAGAACAGAAACTTCTGGATGTAAGGTCAATGAACTTTTTGCTTTTCTTTTCTTTTTTTATTTAAAACTGCTGGCATCAACCGTGGAGGGTTGGAACACTAGCTTGTTACTCTTGAAATAAACTGCTGCCTGCCAAAATCCATTCCCCAAGTTGCCCTGATTGAGCAGTAAAAATCAATAGGAGACACAACCACCGTTAGTATCTTTATCCAAGGAAAGGATTTAACACAGGGCAGAACCTTTTTTAAGTTTCTCATTAAAGCACTCACTACTGAAAGCAAAAGCAAAAGAAAAAAAAGAAGGAAAGGAAAGCCAACAGTTATATTCCCGAACTTCAATGCCCTTGTGTTTGCAGAATGGCCTCCCCACTAAGCAATAAGAAGAAATAAATCTCCTGTGTGTAAGAACTGCATTGAAGGTGGAGGGTATGACAGAGACTAAAAAGAATCTGATGGCTAAACATGACAAGAAAATTCTTAAAAACACACACACACACATCCACACAAAACATCTTACATGTCAGCAGGTCCCTACAATATCCATTGAAATAATGATGCTGGCAAAGATAATGACAATGAATTAGCAGTAATAAGTAAGCTAACAAGACATACATGCCAGATTAACTTTTCTATTAAAAAGTTAAATTGCCAAGTAGTAGGGTCAGATCTATTATTTTACAATAGTCGAAGAGTGCAGTGAAAATCTGTCTTGTTTGTTCATTTATTCATTTACTCATTCATTCACTCTTTCTTGGCAGCCCAGAGTCTGTGCCCCTCCTACAGAACTTGGATTTCCTATGGGGAATTCTCTTCTGTCTCAGTGGAACCCTGAGGTGCTCTGTCCCTCTCCCCGCCGTAACTTGCCCCAGGAAGTCAGAGGGGCTTCTCTGGCCAGGTCAGTTATATCAGTGCCCTGTGAGGGTGAGGGGTAGGCACATGACCTAGGCTCAAGCTCAGCCAGAGGACTTTATTTTCCCTTTGGAGGTGGAAGAGGAAAAAAACTGGTGTAAGTTTACCCATTCATTCCTGTGAGGGTGCACCTGTGTTTAGGACAGACTATCCAGATGTCTGTTTCCTGTTGGTTACATGCCAGTTTCTTCACTGCCTGTCATTCTGGGCAGGTTTTTATGCTTTTCCAATATTTACCCTTTTTTTCCAAGTGACCCCAAGTCTGTTTCAGTTATTTGCTTCAGAAGAATAAGTGGTGGCTACCAGCTGAGCAGGGAACCAAGTGAAAACCATGTTCACTGAACTGGCCAATTGTGTCCTAAGTCAGGAGAGGAGACTGGGAAAATACTGTTGGGAGGCCAAGTGTGGCAGTGACAGTGGAGCAAAAGTGAAGGTCACCAACACTACGGCACGAGGGAGACAGACTAAGCCCCAGGAACAGAGTATGATGAGCTTAAGCCCCAAAGAATGTTTATACTTTATGACAAGTTTAGGGCTATATGTTGACATTGTCACATTCAGAAGCAGCTTTCACATAAAAACTTATTGGGAGATAAAACAGTCTTTCATTTCCTCATTCACAATTAAAGTTTAAAATAAAGCCGCTAGATCACAGATTACAACATAATATTCTGGAATATTTGAAGAAAATGCATTGCCTTTCTCTTCCTTCTTGTCACGTGCTTCTCTTTCCCATTCACTGGAAAAGCTCGTTTCCTTGTATTTAGATCTCATTTTACAGCCCTGCTCATCATGAAGACCCCAAAACATTCCCACGAGCCTTATTTTCATAAATTCACTTAGCACATATATCTTTAAAAAAATCAAAGTTAAAACAAAAATTAACATAAAAATGTTTTTAACAAAAATCAATAAAAATTTTTCTGGATAAATAAATATTGCCAGACCTATGTTAGCTCATTTGTTTGGAAACAAGTATTTAAGCAGAAGAATGAATGGGAAGAGGTCACTCTGATCCATCAAATCATACCTGAAGAGGGACTCTCTTGACAGCCAGATTTCATTCTGCTTTACAGTTTTCCAGGAGAAAAGCAGCAGCAGCAGCACAGTGGACACTGTCAGGGTGGTGGCTCCACATCGATTTAGCCAATTGCAGAGCTTGCTTAGTCCATGCACAAAAAGGATGCAGTAGCCCATGCTGGAAAACAGGGTGGTGGAGGCAAGGTTACTTTGGGGGTGCAATGGCATTCCCCTGAGCATTCCATCCCATATAACTAACTTTCAAATGGAGTTTGTCTTGTGGTAGAGAAACAACAGATATCAATGCCCCTGTCTTATACAACCTCTACATGGCAGTCCTTTAATGGGTACTCAGGACTCTGGCGGTTGCTTGGCATTAATGTGGAGAATAGGAACCTATTGGAGGCCCAGGCTGCCTTGGATCTCAGCAGCTCAGGCCTCATGACAAGTCCCTCATGCATGTTCTTAGGTCCGGAATGGACTCTTTGGCCCTTGACCCCACATGTTACTGGCATTGTGCGGCACTGCTGGCACCATGTGTCCAAATGTAGACTCTAGGCTAAAGCAAGTCCCATCACAGCTTTGTGGTAGACAGTCCCCAGGAGCTCCCACTCAGGTCCTGGGAAGAATGCTGTATTCCGAGGCCACTGGTTTCTCTCTCCAGGGATGTGTCCCCTAGTATGTCTCTGGCCAGTCAAGTCTTTAAGCTGAAGGAAAATCTACCCACAGGCCAATTCCTCAGCCTCATAGTTTGGAGCTTATCACAGACAAGCTGTATTGATGTGATTCTCTTGCTGAGGCTGGCTTGGCTTTCCAGACAGACATGCAGAAGCCCTTACATTATGAGAGTGGAATTTCGGCATGCTGAAATCATGTCTCTAAACACCTTTGACTTGGACAGGACATGGTTCCTAACATCATCTATGCATCCACAGGGATGCTGCTTATGTGCTGATTGGCCTCGGAAAAACACAAGCATTGAGTTGTACACTTTATTGCTCTGTGCATTTTAGTCAAAATTCACTTCATTCTAAAGATTATAATGACAGATTATTACGGAATATTTTAAGAACAAAGCAAGCTTGTGTAAAGAAATCCTACATTGTCAGACTACTAATGCTAGTAGAAGCCCCAAAATTGGTATAGCGCACTCACTTATTCAATGATCTATTCATTTTCTCTCCGTTATGTGACTGGCAATATGCTGAGCAATAAAAATATAACTGTGAACAAAACAGAGGCCTTTCCCTTAAAGAACTCTGGCCTAGTGAAGGAGGACGGCTTTCTAAAAGGAAATACCTGAATACTCACATTTCCTTTAAAGGAAACACCTTTCTGCTTTCCTCCTCTTTGCCTTTCTATATGTCTGTGCTTTGGTACCATGGGCAGATGAACAAGAGAAGCATTTGAAGTTCCTGATTTGGAGGCTCTGGAATCAATTCAAGGTAGAGCTCTGATTTCATATTTCAAGTCCCAGACGTTCATTGGTCCAACTCCCTAAAGCTTTAGGGTCCACTTTTTGGCCAAAGGGAGTCACCACCCAACTCACCACTGGGGATGATGGTTTGAGCCAAGGAGGCCCATGGCCTGATCCCTCATCCCAGTCACTAAATTTGACTGCTGCAAATACTTAGTAGAGCCTTGTAAATGCCAAACACGGTCACTAATGCAAAACAAAACAACAAAATATAAAAACAAAATCCCTCTTCACTGCCTTTGATAGAGCGTTGGCCTGTGGACTGAAAGGTCAAGGGCAAATGCCCAGGTTGCAGGCTCAATCCCCATTGGGGGGCATGCAGGAGGCAGCTAATCAGTGATTCTCTCTCATCACTGATGTTTCTATCTCTCTCCCCCTCTTCCTTCCTCTCTGAGATCAATAAAAATATATGTTTACAAAAATCCTTTTCACACTTCCACAACTCCCTATGTTTGGCCATAAAGGTATTCAGATTTTTCTAAAAATCTCCTGTTTTTATACAATCGACCACGGTGATGCCGTCACATGGAAGCTTCAGTGCATGAGGCTGCTTGCTATTTACTCCTGTAGCCCCTGCCTGATCCCAAATTTTGACAAAGCAGGCTGTGTCTCTGGCCATACAAAGGATGGGCTCCACTCTTTCATTCACCAGGCATTTAATAGACACAAATACCTGACACTGTGACAGGCACCAAGAACAGACCAGTGAATAGGACAGACAATAATCCCTATTCTTGTGAAACTCACATGAGTGGGGAGGAACAGAGTATGCACACAGAGAATAACATGCGGTTTTGGGTGGAGGAAAAAGCCAGCAGGAAAGAGAACAAGGAAGTCCAATGTTGGGTTGGAGGTTGGGTTTAATACGGGTGCTCAGGGAAGGCCTCGGTGAAAAGATGACCTGTGAACAGAGTTCTGAAATGAGGGGGAGGGCAGGGGACACTGGCAGACCCCACATCAGCAAGGGCAGCTCCTTCACAAAAAACAGGGAAAGGTGAATTGACCCGCTGAATGAGGTCACAGAGCTCATACAGATTCCGGAGCCCATGCTTCTTCACACCTGTCACTCAGCTTCACCTACTTCCTTCCCAACTGCTCCACTCATGAAATCTTAATTGTTTTCTGCCTCTGTGTAGGAAACAGAGCTGCGGGCAGAGGGGCCGGGGAAAGGAAAACACTGAGATTCCAACAGCCGCAGGGCACTTGTGGAATCTGTCCAAGTGGCCGGAGACAAGGAGCAGCAAAGACCGCACATATAAGCAAATATAACCAGCTACCTTATGTTTACAGGTTTGCTGAGTGTTTCCTATGTGCCAGGCACTGTGCTGAGTACTTTATATGGGACCAGGGCATTACCGGCTTTACATATATTATCCAATTCAAACTTAATCCTCTGTAGCTTCCATTTCATCAATGAGGAAACTGAAAGCAGGGCATGCACGAAGTTGGTATTCCAGGTAGAAACAGATGTCTCCATACCTGGCTCCTCTAAATACAGTAAGGTCCCAAGGCCCCCAGGACACTATAAGCTGCAGCAGAACAGAAGTGCTCTGGAACAGGCTTTACGTTTGGGGGTTCGCAGTGAGGAAAAGGATTCACCAGAGAACAAAGAGTCTAGAACTACATCTTCTGTGCCACTCTCGAGTTTTGTGGCCCCAAGTGACTTCCTCAGCTCACGAGACCTTATTTGTTTATATTGTTAGAGTTTCATATTGCCTGTGTTAAAGGCAACTTAGCCTGGCCGGCGTGGGGACAGGTTGGGCTGTGCTGATTCCCAGTTCAGTCATCTTCCTACTGGGTTTGCTAAAATAAGTTTTTGTTGTTACAAAGAAAAAAAATAATCTCCACTGATTTTAGTATCTGGTAAAACTTTGATTCAATCTCAAGTTATTCGGAAGAAGTACATGCATAGATGTCTCATCAGAAGGGTCCCCAATATCAGAGAATAGAGGTAGTGTTTCTTCAGAGGTAACATTTCTCATTTTGCAAGCTGAAAACAGATACTGCAGTATTGTTTCAGTAGCAACCCATGTAAGATTTAAAAATTCCATTTCAAATTGATAGGTATGATTGGAAGATAGTTCTCAAAATTGAAAATGAATAAGAGTCATCTTTTCTCTAATTTTCCATGTCTAGTCTGCACATACATTTATTTTATTATTTGTTAATCCTCACCTGAGTTTATTTTCCCATTGATTTTTAGTAAGAGTGGATAGGAGGGAGAGAGAGAGAAAAAACACACACAAAAAACTTCAGTGTGAGAGAGATGCATTGATTGGTTACCTCCTGCATGTATCCAAATCCAGGCTAGGATCAAGCCTGCAATACAGACTTGCCCTTGACCAGAATCGAACCCGGACCCTTTAGTCCTTGGGCAGATGCTCTATCCACTAAGCCAAACTGGCTAGGGCTATCCATACATTTAGGGTCTAAACAATTCAAATGGCATCTTTTTCTAAGAGTAGGCAATTTGTTATTTTTCTTTTTTCCCCCCTCAAATACATACATGTTATCTTCTGTGGTTTCAATTCTTGATCAGTTCTATCCACAATATTGTTGCTGCCTTCTCTTAATCCTGTCTATTCTTTTCCAGTCTCTACTTATTCATGTTTTCTTAAAGTAGCTTAGGAATTTGCTCTTTGGCACTGAAGTGAATAAATCACCCTTAATCTGGCAAATGAATGGATATCCAAGCACTTTCTACGACTTTATTTGAATGCTCTCAACAACTATTTCTGCTTCATTGGTTCTAAATGATTTTAGGCCTTTTAAACATTCTAATGTGGTTTTTATAAAATACAAAAAAGGTAACCAGAAAAGTGTATGCTTCTCTTGAGGTAAAAATAAGAGATCAAAATTCCTGTGAAAGAGTTATTTAAGCCCCAAACTCTCCTCCTATTCAAAAAGGACATTGACAAAAATGGCATTTATCATCAGAAGAAAGGATTATTCAATTATTTTTTTACCCTAAAGCCATGCATTGCTGAACAGATAGCCTACTTCTGTTCCTTTTATCCACAGCTTTGGAGTGAAAGGAAGTGCAAGTGAGAGGAATGTGGTACTTTCTCTCTTCCCTAGCTTAGGATGGAGGGATATGAGGTATAAGTGGCTTGTTCATTATTAGATATAATGGGAGATGAAATAACATTGTTGGTCTGACTCATTCTGGGCCTATCTTGTAACATGGATAAATTGGCCCCCTGGGACTGATGGGACTCACCTAGTCTCCAGTGAGGGAGTGTGACTTAGCCATGCTCATGAATGAGATTCTAAGGCCAAGAGTGGGCTCTATAATAACTTAGAATATTTCATGAGTAGGAAGGTCACCTTCCTCAGAAGGATCAGCTCTTTTATGTCATTTTCCTGTTGTTTGGTAAAGTCTTGTGAGATAACACAGAATGTTGGCATAAAAATAATGATCTATATTTTCTCTGATGCCATTGAACACACTGTGTGTGTGTTTTCCTGAAAGTACTGATACCGAGGATGTGGAAATGGCTGTTTCTTGTCAAGGTCAATAATGGGAAGAGGGTCATGCAAAGCAGATTCCTGAGTATCTAAAAGGCTTGGGACATGTTCTTCACCTTCATCCAAGCCAATGTGTAGGTTCATTAAATGCAACAGGCATAATCCAGAGTCCTGACACCTTCTGAGGGGTCTGCAAAATTCTCTGTGGCCCTCCTGGAAGATATGGGCGGCTCTTTGTCCAATTCTCTACTATTCTCCACTAAGATGGGATGGCTAATCATTGCTAGGTGAAATCTTTGCCAGAAGAAGCCCCCATTTTCACAGAAAACTGTCAATATTTGCAACGGCCCTAATGGACTCATTAGAACTTTCTAAGGTCACAGCATAGAAGTTTCCCCACTTAAGCTTTAATTTCTGACTTAGCCAGAACCATCTCAGTTGCACAATTTTAGATAACAATGGAATCCATCCATTATCATAAGTAAAACAACTCCCCTGTGTATTAGTTACAATGATGACTGTAAAGAATATTGGAATTCAATAGAGTTATAATGTCTCATACACAGAAAAAAATATCTTGAATTTCCTCCAATTTCAGCCTTTTAAAATCTGTAGTAAACTCTCAGGTTTGACCTGGCTGGTGTGGCTCAATGACTGAGCACTGATCTAAGAACCAGGAGGTCACAGTTTGATTCTTGCTCAGGGCACATGACCAGGTTGCGGGCTCCATCCCAATGTGGGGAGTGCAGGAGACAACTGATCAATGACTCTCTCATCACTGATGATTCATTCATATCTCTCTTTCTCTCTCTCTCTCTCTCTCTCTCTTTCCCTCTCTCTCTCTCTCTCTCTCTCATCTCTCTCTCCCCATCTCCCTTCTCCCTTCCTTTCTAAAATCAATAAATATATATTTTTAAAAAACCAAAACCAACAACAAAAAACCTCTTGTGTTTGTGCTCAGAGCTGTGGACCTGGCCTAGTAACCTGACTCTTTACCAGCCCCCAGGACCACCTCTACAGGGCAGGAGAGCACCTCCATCTCCCTGTCACATGGCTTTGGCATCTGCAGAGACTACAGCTCTGGAGGGGGAGTAGCCTGGCTAAGCACAGTGATGAAGTGGGTACTAATACAGGAGGTCCTGGGCAGTAAAGGGAAACCCTCGGAAAATGATTACGTACACATCTCCAACATTGCAACGCACAGCTGCAGGAATGTGAAGGGAAGAGGATAGCGCCTTTCTAATGAAGACGGGTTTACTGAAATTGATTCTGGATGACTCTGCAGCAAGTGTGCACAATGCAGCAGAATCCAAATTGCTTTTGAGAGGCAGGCACTTGCTCTTGGTAATATTGATGTTTTCTTCATATCCTGAACATTTATTTTAACCCAAGTCAGTTTATTCCTAGCGGGAAAAGGACAGGGACAGCACTTGGTCTTTTTAGAGAAAATGAAATGAAATAAAGTCAGAGAAATGTCTATTTGAGATATAGCAGCATGGGAAGAGCAGATGTATGGAGGACACACCCACCTGGGTGAGAGGAACCCCTTGCTTTAAGTAAGATATTCCACATGGTTGATGACAACATTATGGACTTCCATAATGTTTATCTAAGGGTCTCTTTCAAAAAAAATAAAAGTTAGCCTCCTGTCTATCACAAATTGTTCTCTTTATCTGGACTAGAAATGTGTGTTTCACATGCAATTCTTGTCACCCAGATCCCAGAAGATTGAGATCTTATAGCTCTTGGAAGTATCAAGTCCTGATTATCAAATAGAATTGTGCTGTAAGTACTTTAACTAAATTCACATTTCCTCTTTCCTTTTCAGTTGAACAGAACACTAAGAGGTTGAGGTGCCAGGTCTGTCCATAGGCAAGGATCTGCTTCCCAGCTCTGACACTCACTAGCTAAGTCAGCTGGTCACTTGGTCACCCGGGGCAGGTCACTTCACTTCTCAGACCCAGATCTTCTCTTTGTAAAATAGGAATAATGGTGTCAGCTATCCCAACCAATGCAATAATAATACTAGATATTTACTGACAATGTACAATAAAAAACACTTTCTAGATTTTATGAGTGGCCATCTCATTTGTGCTCACAGTATCTCACTGAGTTGGGTGCTATTACTTTCATTGTATACAGATAAGGAAACGGAGGCTTAGGAAACCCATGCTCATGTTTAAGCCAGAATTCCAACACAGGCTCTCTGGCTTCAGTGGCATGCTGTCAACCACCGCCTACAGCGTGCATTAATTGATACAATGAATACCACATGCTTAGCACAGTGCTGACATGTGATAAAGATTCAATAAAAGTTTTGCTACAATGAGTGTTAAAATAGTATTAATGAGAATTATATTATTTTAAAGAATATTATGACCTGTTAAATGTTTAGAAAGGAAGATGCCTTTTTATTAATAAGGAGCTATTTAATTAAGGGGGAGACTAAGATTTACTTATTTTAGCAAACTCAGATTCCAGAACAGTATGTCTAGCAATGGTGCTCTGTGAATAGCTGTTAAATGAAGACTAAATATCAACTCCACTCGGAATCCTAGGTATTACAGAGAACACCTGACTGAAGCCACTTTCAACTGGTCTAAGCAAAAACATAACTAGAATAGGTACTGAGGTCCCTTTTAGCCCTTCATATTTTTAATTATTGGCAAGGCCTCATAAGCCTGTTATTGTAAGGCCATACAGAAAACAAAAATTTTGTATTGTAATTTTGTCCTTATTGAATAGTATTTACCATGAAAGAACCTCCTTCCAAAATTGTGCTAAATACACATAAAAAAACTTAAGAGCTTCACTGAGTAAAAACCGGATGCTCCAAAGCCTTAAGAATGCTGTCAGATACTTGGCTTAGGAGGAATTCAAAGGCTATGAAATTCATTTCTAACTTTATGCATATTTAAACTTCTAATTCAGTATCATCAAATAATGAAATCTTACTTGTTGATGTTTAAATCAATTTAAAATTCTAACAGAATATCGATAATAAATAATGTCCTTATAATATTTTGGTTTATGATACTTTTAGAAAAATTCATTCTTAGATATCAATTGTTAAATTATTCATTTTAGGAAGTTCACTAAAATCCTTATTTTAAAAATTAGAAAACCTGACTTCTCAAAAGCATCATGTTTTATTCAAAGTCACACAACAGAAAAATGGCAGAACCATTTCAGGGACACATCCAGGCACCTGAAAAGAAACGTGGCCTTGGAAAGATGCCATCTGAACGGGACAAGAGAACAGACAAACTGCAGCACAGTCCAAACATTCAGAGCTAAGTGGAGTGATGTAATCACACACATCTGAAGGCCCTTTATATTTGCAACCATTTTTTTTCCCCTCAAGGACAAATCTTTTTTGAGATTGTTCCCATTTTTTGTCATGAAAAGCCAAAGAAAATGAGACAGAGAAAGAAGACAGAATTCAATTACAATCATGTTATTTAACATAATTTTAAACACATCAAAAATATTACTACAGAATTACTATAATGATGTTTAATAAACATAGATATTTGGAAAAGAATGTATTGGTAAATGATTGCTGCTGAAAACCTGAATACACTTCAGTCACTCTTTCCCATTTAACTATCAAGCTTCCAGCTGGAGAGAAGCCACTGTCAACTAGAGTGAATGGGTGCAAAGTGAGCTCATCACCGTTGCCCTGTGGCTGGTTTTGAAGCTGAGGTAATAAGCATCTCAACTCCACAAAATCTATTTATTATACCCTATAGGACAGTCTCTCTGGAGCTTCTGGTGTTGGTGACAGAGGGCAGGCCTCATAAAGATGAAATCAAGCAGTAATTACCTGGGCATGTAAAGGACTCTCTCGGCCACAACAAATCCCACCCTGAAGAAGAGATTGCTGGCTGGAATGAACGGGAAAACCAGGAACAACAAGCCCACCAACACCTCCTTGTGCTCCAGTCTCTGAAACATACAACAGTGAAGGGCAAATTAGTCTCAGGTTAATTCCACTTCATGGGGCATTTTACCATCTCTTTCATTTTCAAGTTCTCATGAAAGGAATGAATAGATTAGACCAATGAAAACCTTTTGATCAGTGTGCTGAATTCATCAGGAAAGCCCCGAGGCTAACACCATGCCAGAGGTATTCACACATACCCAACAAATATTTGCCACCCGGACACATCTGCTATTTGCATAATGCAATCCATGACCATTATTTGTTCTGTGTGGCCCTACAGCAACCCTTTCTTGGTTCTATCCCCTTTCAGAATCTTTGCCCTCCTCCTTCCCTGGGGAAATTCATTCCCAGGGAGCAAAAATTATATACTCCAGACACTAAGATATCATGTGAAACTATTGTCATCTCAGAAATAGAATGCATTAAAGAATAATAATAATAAGCCCACACATAAATCCCACCAGGAGAAGCAGAGCAAGCACAAGAAAAGTTAAATGCAAATGGTAACATTCGGTACCAATGAGGGAGATCATTTGAGCTGAGGAGTTTTTGGCACCTCTCAAATAAAGCCAGTAAGCAAGTATTTAGTCTATAAAATTGTCTGGGCTAAAAATTCATACAATAATAACTCATTATCTTGACAAAGCAACTTTCTGTAATATTGTACATAATAATTCATAAAGGTTTTCTTGTCACTTGTAGTCACAGAAAAAAGTTTCGGTTTCTAACTAATAAGTTGTAACAGACACTAAAAAGTATCTTGTATTTACATGAGTGTATAAGACATGAAAACATTTGAAGACGGGCCTATTTAAAACAAATCCTAATGTACTGGGTGGCATTCTTTTTCCTTTTAAAAAAAGTTTAAGAAAATCAAGAACTTTCCATATTACAGTTTTAATGTTCCTTATGAACATTTAAATAGTCTATTGCTTTTAATAATTGTAGAAGACTAAATAAGTCTCAAACATATAAATAAGAAGCCATAATACAAACGACTAATACTTTAAGTATACAAAATAAAAGATTTTAAGCATCTGCATATATAGGAACCTAAGCGACTGGACAACCAGGTGACCATACAAACGGCTGGTAGTTATGACATGCACTGACCACTAGAGGGCAGACGCTCAATGCAGGAGCTGCCTCCTGGTGGTCAGTGTGCTCCCATAGCAGGAGTGCCACTGAGCTGACAGACGGGCGCCAGACACGGGGCTGAAGGCTGGCGAGCACAGCTGCAGCCATGTGAGCCCCTCCCGTGGACTCTCCCCCTGCACGCCTGAGCAGTGGCACTGCAGATGTAGCAGGGCCGGGACCCGTGGGAGTGGCGCAGCCCTCGGGGATGTTGGACTGCCAGTTTCCGAGGGGTCCTGGATTGCGAGAGGGTGCAGGCCAGGCTGAGAGACCCCATCAGTGCATGAATCTGTGCACTGGGCCTCTAGTCTTGAGATATTTGTCATCTGGATTTTATTAAAATCATTGTTATTTTTATCACAACACAGAGTAATAAAATTTCTGACAGCAAGTTCATATGAACAAATGTGATTTGGACAATTTCCCTTAATGGTTAACAATCTGTAAGTAGTGATCTAATTTTTTTTTATCTAAAGGAACCACACTACAAAATTAAAAGATGGAAGAAAAAGGAGAAAAGCTTGCATAATAAGACTTCGACTCAAATCGATGCACTGTTATATATTCTATATACCACTAAAATGAATTAAAAAAACAGGTGAGAAAAGTAGCAAGTTTTCAATGAACATTGAAAAGTTGCATGCTATCTTTATAATTTAGATTATGCTTTGAGTTTACAAAATACATTTTAGTTCAAGAACTTAAAAGTTTATATAATTTAAAAAAGTATAAACACCTTCATAAAAATCCTGTGATATCAAAAGCAACTATTTCTTGCTAAAATTAAAAATAAATCCGAGATAAAAAAGTACAGATTGGTAGTTACAAAATATCCATGGGGCTATAAAGTACAGCATAGGAAAAATAGTCAACAATATTGTAATAACTATGTATAATGCCAGGTGAGTAATGGAAATATAGGGGAAAACACTTTGTAAAATATGTGATTGTTTAACTACTATGCTGTGCACCTAAAACTAACACAAAAATAACAATGAATTCAAACTGTATATATATATATCTATATACATCCTAGAGAATGAGTAGCTAGTCGAGTGTTCTGCATGAACTCTGTGCCTATTTTTAAGTAAAGGGTTGGTGTGTTCTATCAGTGCACTTTTATTTTTTAAAGATAGTTGGATACTTCTTTTAAATCTTTCAAAAGCTGAGATGATTATTATTATTATTATTATTTTTTACAGAGAGGAAGAGATAGGGATAGCTAGAAACATCGATGAGAGAGAATCATCGATCAGCTGCCTCTTGCACACCCCCTACTGAAGATGTGCCCGCAACCAAGGTACATGCCATTGACCGGAATCGAACCTGGAACCTTTCAGTCCGCAGGCCGATGCTCTATCCACTGAGCCAAACCAGTTTCGGCAGCTGAGATGATTCTTATGAAAATATTCATCTATCTTCCTGCAGAAAATTTTAAAGAGATTTTAATACTTCTAATTTATTAATCCTATAGAATTAAGAAGAATAAGGATATTAACAGACCTCCAAATGGGCTACTACCATGTCCCTAGCTAGCGTTTAAACAAAAGCTCTGCCCCTCATCACTGTTACCAAAGAACAGCCTTAAATGGGATATGAAAGAGGCATCACCTTGATCCCCACAATATCACACCTTCTTGCCTGACTGCAGGCCACCTTCCTCATCATCATGGCCATATGTTTATGCCCTTTGCTCAACAGAACACTGAGTGCCTCAGCATCCAGAGGGGAGGAGGAAGAGGCGGGCGTCAGGTGTTAGCAGAAGCCCAGCTCCATGCTCCCTCTCTCCTCTGTCACTGAGTGGGCAGGATCCCCAGATGCTCACTGCTACTGGGGACATGGAGAAGGATTCTCAGACCCCAAGCACAGTTTTTACTTCCTTCATGGCAATCATTCCAATTGTAATGATCTGTTTATCTGTGCATTTACTGCCTTTAATATTGCCACTAGACTGCAAGCTCTTATGAGGGCAGGGAGCTGGTCAAATGTGCTCAGGGGTGTATAACCTCTGTTTAGCTCAGTATCTGGCACTTAGTAGGTCCTCAGAAATATCTGTTGAATAAGTCAGCAAATGAATAAATATACCAGGCAAGAGAGAAAATGGGTGTGAAAAGAAGGTGAAGAGGACTTCCTGGTGGAGGTGACAATCTGGGTTTGAAAAACGAATGAATGCCTAAAAGACAAATTTGGTGTGGTGCTTGTGGGGAGGGGGTCACAGCTAATCTAATTCCAGGGAGCAGATACAGAATGTGCAAAGCAGGGACCAAGACTATACGTGTTGGTGGTTGGCAAATCACGAGGATCTTGTATGCCCTGTGTGGAGCTAACCTTTATTTAGAGCCAACAGGGAACTACTAAGATGTCCAACATCCATAGAAAGAAGAGCAAGTTAGTTTCCAGATGATGTCCAGATCAGGATGTGGCCCCGCAGTCATTACACCATCAGTCAGCTTGAGCGGGCACCTCGTTCCCTCTCCCATGCCTCAACTATCAAATGAGACAAGTGAGGCTCAGGGTTCAGTGAAGCTAGATCATTACATGGGCCCACATGATTGGACTTGTGAGTTGTGGATTTAGAGGCCACCACTTCAAACTGCTCCCAGAGGGTTTTTTTTTGTTTTTCTTTGTTTCCAAAGTATTTAATTGAAGACAGTGGCACTGTGCCCCAAATCAATGAAATTATATTTTATTTTGGAAAAAAATAATATTCACGAAAAAATTATTCTCAAATTAAATTGATCACTACATTTTTTGTCTTCCCCTTTAGGTCAAGAGAAATAGAAAATTCAGAAATGTAATTCTTTAAGCTTTGAGCCAATCAACCAAGCATAAAGTTAGGAAAAAATATGTCATGGACATGGGTGGATTTCCTAGAATGAGAAAGACTGGGAGGGAATCCAAGTTTATATCCTGCGGATCACAGATGTGACAAAATTGCCTAAATAATTTATAGCTTATTTCAGCCTAATAGAGTCAGATGGAATGCAAACAAATGTGAGTGGGGGGGAAAGAGAAAATCTGTGTCATTTTCCAAAGTACACAAAAGTGCATTTATTTATGGGAAAAGAGGCAAATGGAAATATACTTACCCAAATTACACCGGGGCTGAAAAGACGTGAGAATCCAAAGAGCTAATTATGGGGCCATTAATAATACATGTTATTTTCTGATTAACTGTACAACTTCAGACAATTTAATTTACTTCTCTCAGCTTTAATTTGATGATCAGTTAAACAACAGCAAGGACATTGATATCTATTGTATTTATAGGGAAAATGTGTGAGAGATTCACTACGATTTTCTTGCTTGGCTTAGAAAGATACAAAGCAGCAGCCTCCTGAGCTGTAAAGAGGTGGCAATCTCTTACCTCCACTCTCCACTCTCAAGGTGCTCACAGTCTTGCTCAGCCACTTTCAGCACAGCCACCGGTTTTCTCGGAACCAATTACCTCCAAAAAACCCAGCTGCAGAATCCAAGACTAGGCTGGTAGCTTGTGGTTTATCCCTTGCCCTTCTTACTCTGTTCACATTTCAAAGCACTGGTCATGGATGAGGACACACACACACACACACACACACACACACACACACACGTGCGCTGCGGCCAGCAACCTGTGGGTGTGTGCTCGTGAGAAGAAGACTTCCTCCCTGTCCCATTCAACAAAGGCAACATCCATTGCAGGCTGTTTCCTTCCACAGAGCCAGAGAAAGGCCCTATTACAGTAATTAGGATCATCATTACTATTACCGTATTTTCTCTCACCTCCGAACACGTTTAGATCAATGGGAGAGTGCATTTACTAGCAGGATGTGAGCATGTTCTCAGTTCAACATAGAGCACAGCTGTATTTCAATCCTAAGAGTCTACC